TGACGGAAGAAGAGAAGGAGAGGCTATTGTAACATACCTTCTACCACACACACACACACACACACACACACACACACACACACAAAACAAAACACCCCCTTCCTCCACCTTCCAATATTAAATCTAACTTTATAACCTTCAAGTGCCGGAGGTGGCTGGCTGAGTGTAGCATAACGAGAGAAGGGGAGGAGGGGGGGGGGGAGGTGAGGGAGAAAGGTTTGTTTACCTTATTCTCTCACCGTCAACAAACACTGGGAGAATTGGTCTAAATATGATCTCCAAGTATGACCCTTTGGTATGTAAGCTAGACCGCACGTATGGATGATGGTGTGGTTAGGTTAGGTTGGGTGGAACGCACGTATGTATGATGGTGTGGTATGGTATGAATATGTATACATTTGTGGGGGTTTTATTCATCTATACATACATATATATACACACACAATAGGGGTTAATCAAGTGTGTGTGTGGGGGCTGGGGTTATTTTGGATAAGGTGTGTGTGAGAGAGAGAGAGAGAGAGAGAGAGAGAGAGAGAGAGAGAGAGAGAGAGAGAGAGAGACCCTTAATGACATCCAGAGATAGACAGACAGACAGACGGATAAACAAGAGAGAGATTACATCGTGATGACAGACAGGTTGGTGTTCCCGAGGTGTGATAGCTGGTGCCGCCTCTGTTTGTGTCGTCACGGGGGAAAGGGGGGGGGGCGTCCTTATCACCATCCCTCATACTTTAGACAGAGAGACAGGGAGGATGGGAACTGTGGGGGTGGAGGGAGGATGAGCACGATGGGAGGTGTATTGTACTGTAGAGGCCAAGTCCCAGGTTGGATCTTATTGAGAGACAGGCAAACAGACAGTCAACCAGTAAGCGACAGACGCAGAGACAGCCAAACAGAAGGTGATTACTTCCTGATGACAGACACAGTCAAACAGAGGGTGATTATTTCTTAGCGAGGGACAGGTTGGCGTACCCTAAAGGTCCCGCTGGTGCCTCTGCTGTTTGGGTCATCCCTCGGGGTGTCTCGTGACCTTCAAGTATAGTCCATTTGTCTGTTGGATAGTTCACCTCTCTCACTGGTGGATCACTGGCCAGTTATGTGGATCACTGGCGAGAGAGAGGCGCAGTCCATTTAGAAAAGAGAAAATATATATAAAAATAGAGAGAGATTGTGAGAGGTTCAATCCAAGAGAGAGAGAGAGAGAGAGAGAGAGAGGACCCACACACACAAGTTGACCACCACTGTTGCTTAAGTCCTACACGATGACGTCACTGGCGGGGGAGGAAATGTTTTGATTGATGACGTCACGGCGTTGTGTTTCCATGGTATATTCACCGTGACCTCCTGTGATCTCGAGGGTCACCAGTCACAACACTTAGGTCTCGTGTGTGTGTGTGTGTGTCCATTCATCTGGTGGTAGTAGTGGTAATGATAATGACAGTATTAATGGTGATGGTAGTAGTGATTGTTTTGGTGATAATAATGGTAATGGTGGTAGTAATGTGGTGGTAGTAGTGGTAGTATTGTTAGTAATAGTGGTGATGTTAGTAATAGTGGTGGTTATTGTGTCTAGGGCAGAGGCAAGGTTATGTTTGGTACACACAAGGAAGGAGTTGCAGGTTGTTTAGTAGCTGAGGGGGAGAGGGGGAGGGGGGTAGTGGAGAAGGGAAGGTGGGGTAGAGTCACGTGTTCGTATTGTGAGTTAAGTGTTCATAAAGTGAGTTAAGTGCTCGTATAGTGAGTCAAGTGTTTGTATAGTGAATTAAGTGTTCATATGGTGTTCGTATAATAAGTCGTGTGTTCGTAAGTCTAGTTTAATGAACGTATAGTTAACCATGTGTTCATATAGTCACAAGTGAGAGTCATGCGGTCATATAACGAGTCCAAATGTTCGTAAAGCGAGTCACATAGACGTATAATAAACCATGTATTCGTATAGCAAATCAAACATTCGTATAATGAGTCGCGTGTTCGTATATTGAGTCAAACATTCGTATATTGAATCAAACATTCATATATTTAATCTAACATTCGTATAGTGAATCAAATGAACTTGTACTGAATTAACATACGAATATTTAGATTATAATTTGATTCGTTGCTTCTTTTCACCTCAAAATTACGTAAACAAATCCACATAAAGTTATAGAAGAAACGACAGCAGTTGTATTATGTTGTGACGGAGCGAGACGAACTGTACCGAGGCTTCCGTCGTGTTGTGTGACGTGGAGGGTCGCTGCCGCCGCTAGTGACCCGCTTACCGCACCAACGTTACGATAATGACACCTCACTTAACGTTATTTTACGGTGTTCGCTATCCCGACTCTGTGTGTGTGTGTGTGTGTGTGTGTGTGTACAGTAAAAATATGTGCATTTGTGTGTGTGTGGATATATGTGTCGTTATGTGCTTGCATTATCGTATTCAAGGGGTTAAATCATCATACTGAAGGGGTTAAATTATTGTACTCAAAGAGGTTAAATCATTATACTCAAAGGGTTAAATTATCGTACTCAAGGGGTTAAATCATCGTACTCATGTGACCATAATTACTATATACCCGTTGTTTATATGTCAACAGGGGGACCAGTTTAAGGGGGGAAGGCTGTGGTAGGTCATGGGGGGTGAGGGGGCTGTGGTAGGTCATAGAGGGGTGAGGGGGGTGGTAGGTCATAGAGGGGTGAGGGGCTGTGGTAATTCATGGGGGTGAGGGGGGTGTGGTAGGTCATGGGGTTTAGGGGGTGTGGTAGGTCATAGAGGGGATGGGTCAGGTGAGGGGGCTGTGGTAGGTCATGGAGGGTGAGGGGCTGTGGTAGGTCATGTGGGGGTGAGGGGGGTGTGGTAGGTTATGGGGGTGAGGGGGGCTGTGGTAGGTCATGGGGTGAAGGGAGTTGTGGTAGGTCATGGGGGGGTGAGGGGGCTGTGGTAGGTCATGGGGGTGAAGGGAGTTGTGGTAGGTCATAGGGGTTAGGGGGCTGTGGTAGGTCATGGAGGGTGAGGGGGCTGTGGTAGGTCATAGGGGGGTGAGGGGGACAGACTGTGACCACCTGTCCCTCACCTGAACACCTGGGGGTTAGATGATGAGTGTAAACAGGTGGTGACTCTATGTTTACCTGTCTGCTTGTGTTTACATGTGTACATTTGCGTGTGTTTGTATACCTGGTAGCGGGTTCGTGTGAGTACTTTCCATACGTGTCCGTGGTGTTGTACGTGTATCTTGGCGTATGTGTGTACTTAGTGTCCGTATATGTGTGTACTTAGCATGCGTATGTGTACCTGTGTGTGCACCTGACCGCCAGATCTATCGTAATCCCCCCCCCCTCCCCCTCCCCCTCCCCCCTCCACCACCAGAAAGTGTGAAATCTGGAAATGATGGTGGGAGGGAGAGAGGGAGTCAGGGAGGGATGCAAGCCAGGCGAGGAGGAGGGGCTGACCACTACCACCATCACAACAACATGGTACCTAATATCGCATATCTTCTCCCATACATTCCCCAATATCGTTTAATTTTAACCCAAACTATCGTATTTTACACTGAGTATCGCCCATGTGGTGTTTTGTGGGCGTTTAGGGTGTGTACGGAGGGCGTAGATGATTATAAACCACCCGGGTGTTGACTTCTGTTTGGGCGCCAGAGGGAGGGAGGGAGGGAGTGACGCGAGGTGTGAGTTGCCAGCGAGAGTTATTATGGTATGTGAATGTTCATCAGTGTTCATTCATTTTATGTTTGTGTGGGTTTTTTCGTCCTAATGTGAATGTTATTTTAAGTTTGTTCGTTTGGGTTTGAATGTATTTTTTTACGTATAAATATTTTCCTTAAAATAGAACATTAATGCTGTATTTTTAGTCAATGTTGAATGTTTATTATTATTATTTTGTTTATTATTATTGTTTTCTTTATTATTATTATTATCATCATTACTAAACGTGTTATATATGACAGGTGTATGTGTGTTAGTTTTGTAATAATAATGATAGTTATTATGTAATTGGCTCGTTACAGTAGATCTATTACATGACTTAGCATCGAGGAACAGGTTAGGTGGAGGGTGAAGGAGGAGCTCAGAGAGTGAAGGTCGAGGAGGAGGTGGGCAGCACATCACTAGCCTCGAGTCTTATAAGGGAAAAAATCACAAGTTCGTTTATAATGCAAACAATTTATATTTTTTTTGTTAGGTTGTTTAAATTTTATGGATCACCTGAAGAATATGCACCCCAGTTTATTTAACCTGAAGATTAATCACCCTAGCACTAACTAACCTAACTGAACACTAACCTAACACTAACCTAACTTAACACTAACCTAACACTAATCTAACTTAACACTAACCTAACACTAACCTAACTGAACACTAACCTAACACAACACTAACCTAACACTAACCTAACTTAACCTCATCCCCCCAAATAGTGTTAGGGTGGTTAATCTTCAGGTGAAATAAGCTGGGGTGGTGATTCTTCAGGTGATGCAATATGATTATAAGCGTATGTTATTATTTTATATATTTTGTCCTATTTTATGCTTTAGCTGTTCAGTAATGGTCTAAGTTATATCATCTTGGTATATTTGTTTTATCTATCATGTAAAATTTTCTACTCGTTCATATATTCAATGTTATTTATCTTTTAACTGTTAAGTGGTTCTGAGTTACAGTCAGTGGTCATACGAAGCAGCGAGACTGGGTTTAGATCTAGTGAATGGATGAATTAACTGGTGGTTGACTGGTGAAGATGGTCTTGATTCATAAAAGTGTGAGGCTTCGAATCTCTCTGGCATGTAGAGGTGATTTTTGAGCCGTTTAAATGATTCATTATTTGTGAGGTAATGGACAAGATTAGTTAAAAAAAATAAGGAAAAAAATGCTGATTAGTGTCCATTGTGAACTGGTATCTGTGAGGGAGGGTGAGGGAGGTGGAGGGAGTAGCGAGGCAGATGTGAGGGTGAGTGAGGGAGGGAGCAGGGAGGATTCAGATTCGGAACGCTCACGACCAAACGCTCCCTCGCTCAGTAACCACCCAGCCGCGAGGGAGGATGCACGCATGCGCTCCTTCGTCACCTTCCGCTAACACACACTCACGGAACACTTGACACTGAATTCTCTTGTGTTGTGATGGATATACAGTGGTAGTGTGTGGTGTGGTGGAGGGTTGAGGAGGTGTGTTGAGTGCGTGGGGGGCGGGGATTATTGGTGGTTAAACAGTTGAAATTGAAAGAAAAAAATTTGGTGTGGGAGTGACTGACTAACTAACAGACTCACTTCTCTTCAGATCTCCTACTCCCATTCTCACCGTCGGGCTGGCGTCACTCTGACTGTCGGGGGAGGAGACCAACACACACACGCACGCACACTTGAGATTCAACGAAACGTCTATATTTTACGGAATTTTTCTAAGATGGTGCGGGCAAGTATTCCTTATGAAGAAACCACGAAACTTGACCCGTTGGAACACCCGGTACTGTAAAGTATGAAAACAATTGAAAACGTTTAGAAAAAATACATTGAGTGTGTTAGACGTAAGTGAATAAAAGATAAATGAAAGAAAATAAAATAAACGTTGATGTGAACTAAATAACAAAGGCACCAAAACTAAAAAAATCACATTAGATAGAACAAAACTAGTGAAAAATAGAGTTAATTGGAAGAGACATCATCAAAACACTACAGAGAGATAGAGATAAGAGAAGACCTTTGTTATCTCTTGTTCGTCGTGAGAGAGAGATTCAAGGACACACCACACGACCACCATGCCTTCAGGAGAGGTGATTACAGTGTCCCCGCCCACGTCTAGCGGTGTGGGCGTGGTGGGCGGGGAGGAGGACAAGAAGGCAGTGTATAATGATGAAGAGTATGATGAAGACTTGGCCCAGCTAGACATGTTACTTCACTATGTCAACAACCTGTCTGCCTCCCTCGAGTTTCTGGCCTGGGAGAACAAACGTAAGCTTGTCTTGTGTCTGTATGAGTGTCTTGCTGTGTCTGTATGAGTGTCTTGCTGTGTCTGTATGAGTGTCTTGTGTCTGTATGAGTGTCTTGTGTCTGTATGAGTGTCTTGTGTCTGTATGAGTGTCTTGTGTCTGTATGAGTGTCTTGCTGTGTCTGTATGAGTGTCTTGCTGTGTCTGTATGAGTGTCTTGCTGTGTCTGTATGAGTGTCTTGCTGTGTCTGTATGAGTGTCTTGCTGTGTCTGTATGAGTGTCTTGCTGTGTCTGTATGAGTGTCTTGCTGTGTCTGTATGAGTGTCTTGCTGTGTCTGTATGAGTGTCTTGCTGTGTCTGTATGAGTGTCTTGCTGTGTCTGTATGAGTGTCTTGTGTCTGTATGGTAGTTGGTCGTTCTGCTTTGCGTATGGCTGGGAGAAAGAACATTATGATTCCCTCAGTCTGTCTCGTTTGTGTGTGTATGTATGTATGTGTGTATGTGTGTGTGTATGTATGTATGTATGTATGTATGTATGTATGTATGTATGTGTGCGTGTGCGTGTGTGTGTGAAGGTCGTTTATTTATGTAGTACGGAGGCCATGGCGTACCCAGATCGGTAACCTCAGATAATAAATAAAGTTAGAGACAGACAGAAAGAACTTATGGTAATGCCCAATACAGTACTACTAAAGGCAACGCTGCATGTTCCTCCTGTCTTGGATCATTTGTAACGCTGCATATATGGCTAGGTCAACAGGGTATGTCTGTTGGTGTCTGTATGTCTGTCATGGGCAAGGGAGTAGACTGTGTCATTTTAAATATACAAATTATGTGTTTTCTTCCTATATTTTCTTAGCTGTGTTTTTTATACCGGGGGGACAAGTTGATAATTGTAGCGGGAAATAATTAGCGTCAACTGGTTTGTTTGTTGTTGTCTTTGTGGAAGAGTTAGGAGGTGAGTTTGGCATTTTAAGTCGGTATTATTGGCCCTTGCTTGGTAGGGGAATGTTGCTATATGACGGTCACTTGAGACTACTTCAGCCAAGGGTGTGCGTGTGTGTAGGAGTGTGTGTGTGTGTTCGTGTTCTTGGCCACGCTAGTGCATGAAGGAACAATGAACTTGAGCCAGATTCACCACCGCCGCCCACATCCAACCACCCATCCACCCCACCACCCAGTCCACTACAACGCCGTCCCCCGCCCATCACCTTCACCCCTGTCCACCCACCGCCCACAGTCCTCCACTACATCCCCACCCACCACTATAACCCCACCCACCTCACCACCTACAGTCCACCACACACCCACCCTCCGCCCCCACTACTCCCCCGGCCCCACACACGACAGTCTCACTACGATATTAACCCCATTTTGTCCATCTTTGTGACGATATACGAGGGAGTCACGGGAGACGCTTTCTTACGACAACACTGAAGGTCCACAGTTTATCGTGAGAATGTTCGAGAATCTTATTTTAACCTTGAACTAAAAAAATTCTCTTAAGATGGAATTGTTATCTATGGGTTATTTTTGCCGTAAGATTAACCACTCGAACGTAAACTTAACCTAACTTAATCTATACACCACTTCAAACCTAATTCACCCTAACTTAATCTAGCTTATTTTATCCTAAGATTAACCACCTCAGCCTTAACCAAACCAAACTTAACCTAACCATCCCAAGAATTAATTAGAAAGAGTTAATATCATCAGGTGAAATAAAACTATGTGTGAGGGGGGGGGGGGTGTCAAATCTTCAGGTGATCCGATAAAATAACTTAGATAAAAGATTACTACTGACAGGGCATCGAAATTGCACATACGAGATACAATGCGGACATGTGTGTGTGTGTGTGTGTGTGTGTGTTGCTGATAAATCGATCCTTGAGCGACTAGCGGGTATTGTGTGGAGCTGACTGCGGCGTACCTCAGGGTAAACTACTTAGCCTTCACTGATTGGTTGTGATAATTACGTCATTCAATGTGATGTCTGTGTGGATGATTGGAATAGGAAGGTAAATAGAGGAAATTGAAATGATGATGTATGAATGATAATAATAATATCAAAACAAATAAGGTAGTTTTATAACAATAATGATAATACTACAGATAATAACATAATAATAATGATGCCAATAATAATGATAATAATAATTCAGGATACGATTATGAAGCTTAACAAACAAGATGAAAATAAAAGTATAATACTTAAATAATTATCTCGTACAGAAGTTAAATAATAAGTTTGTGATAATAATCCTGGCAATAACTTGGTGGTAATACTAATGGACAAGACTGACGAGTATAATAGTGTTGGTAATAGCAGTTTTATTATAGGCTATTATGGTGTCCGAGTACAGGTTATATAATGTAAAGAGTAAGATAAATAATTAGTGGAAGTAATTGGCTTACCTGTGTATAAGAGATCAACTGAACTTTAGACACCCCAGTTTATTTCACCTGAAGATTAAACACCCTGACCTAACAGAAAATTTAACCTAACAAACCTAACTTAACCTAATCTAATCTAATACAAACTTACTTAATCTAATCAAAACTTAATCTAACCTAACCTTAAGCTAACCTAACCTAAACCTAACTTAACCTAATCCCTCCAGGTAGCGTCAAGGTGTTTAATCATCAGGTGAAATAAAGCTAGGGTGTCTAATCCTCAGGTGATGCACGTGAGGGAGTGTGTGTGTGTGTGTGTGTGTGTGTGTGTAATGTGAGATGTGCTTGGGGAGAGGGGGGGGTTGAGGGTTCAGAGTGGGCAGGTAATTAAGAATCTATTTTTGGATGAGTGTCTGTCTGTCTACTTAACGAAGGGCATGTGTGTGTGTGTATGGTTCATGTGATGTATGTGTGTGTAGTGTGTATGGTTCATGTGGTGTATGTGTGTGTATGTGTATGGTTCATGTGGTGTATGTGTGTGTATGTGTATGGTTCGTGTGGTGTACAGTATGTGTGTGTAGTGTGTATGGTTCATGTGATGTGTGTGTGTAGTGTGTATGGTTCATGGTGTATGTGTGTGTAGTGTGTATGGTCTATGTGGTGTATGTGTGTGTAGTGTGTATGGTTCATGTGATGTATGTGTGTAGTGTATGGTTCATGTGGTGTATGTGTAGTGTGTATGGTTCATGTGGTGTATGTGTGTGTAGTGTGTATGGTTCATGTGGATGTATGTGTGTGTATGTGTGTGTGGTATGTGTGTGTGTAGTGTGTATGGTTCATGTGTGTGTGTGTGTGTAGTGTGTATGGTTCATGTGATGTATGTGTAGTGTGTATGGTTCAGTGGTGTATGTGTGTGTGTAAGGTCGTGTGGTGTATGTGTGTGTGTGTATGGTTCATGTGATGTATGTGTGTGTAGTGTGTATGGTTCATGTGATGTATGTGTAGTGTGTATGGTTCTGATGTATGTGTAGTGTGTATGGTTCATGTGGTGTATGTGTGTGTAGTGTGTATGGTTCTGTGATGTATGTGTGTGTAGTGTGTATGGTTCATGTGATGTATGTGTGTGTAGTGTGTATGGTCTGTGTGGTGTATGTGTTGTGTGTGTATGGTTCATGTGATGTATGTGTGTGTAGTGTGTATGTCTATGTGTGATGGTGTGTGTAGTGTGTATGGTTCATGTGATGTATGTGTGTGTAGTGTATGGTTCATGTGATGTATGTGTGTAGTGTGTATGGTTCATATGATGTATGTGTGTAGTGTGTATGGTCATGTGATGTATGTGTGTGTAGTGTGTATGGTCTGTGATGTATGTGTGTGTAGTGTGTGTATGGTTCTGTGTGGTGTATGTATGTGTGTGTGTGTATGGTTCATGTGATGTATGTGTGTGTAGTGTGTATGGTTCATGTGATGTATGTGTGTGTGTAGTGTGTATGGTCTGTGTGTGGTGTACAGTATGTGTGTGTAGTGTGTATGGTTCATGTGATGTATGTTGTGTGTGTAGTGTGTATGTCTATGATGTATGTGTGTGTAGTGTGTATGGTCTATGTGATGTATGTGTGTGTAGTGTGTATGGTTCTGTGTGGTGTACAGTATGTGTGTGTAGTGTATGGTTCATGTGATGTATGTGTGTGTAGTGTGTATGGTCTATGTGATGTGTGTGTGTAGTGTGTATGGTTCGTGTGTAGTATGTGTGTGTAGTGTGTATGGTTCATGTGATGTATGTGTGTGTAGTGTGTATGGTCCATGTGATGTATGTGTGTGTAGTGTGTATGGTTCATGTGATGTATGTGTGTAGTGTGTATGGTTCATGTGATGTATGTGTGTGTAGTGTGTATGGTTCATGTGATGTATGTGTGTGTAGTGTGTATGGTTCATGTGATGTATGTGTGTGTGTAGTGTGTATGGTTCATGTGGTGTGTGTGTGTATGGTTCATGTGATGTATGTGTGTAGTGTGTATGGTTCGTGTGATGTATGTGTGTGTGTGTATGGTTCATGTGGTGTATGTGTGTAGATGGTCATGTGATGTATGTGTGTAGTGTATGGTTCATGTGATGTATGTGTGTGTAGTGTGTATGGTTCATGTGATGTATGTGTGTGTGTAGTGTGTATGGTTTATGTGATGTATGTGTGTGTAGTGTGTATGGTTCATGTGATGTATGTGTGTAGTGTGTATGGTTCATGTGATGTATGTGTGTGTAGTGTGTATGGTTCATGTGATGTATGTGTGTATGTGTGTATGGTCATGTGGTGTATGTGTGTGTATGTGTATGGTTCATGTGGTGTATGTGTGTGTAGTGTGTATGGTTCGTGTGGTGTACAGTATGTGTGTGTAGTGTGTAGTGTGTATGTTCATGTGAGTGCAGGCAGCGAGCGTTCTTGTAGCGGTGTTGGGTGCGTGTTGTAAGGTGACATCCAGTCGTTTTTGTAAGCGTTGTTATTATGTTCTACCTACAGTCTGTTGGACCTGTTCAGTGGTTCTAGGTTCTGAGAGTACACCCCTCTCCTCTCCCTTCCTCCTCCTTCCTCCTCCCTCTCCCTTCTCCCTTCCTCCTCCTCCTCCTCCCTCC